TTTCTGTTGAAGTTGTGATGCAATATAAAATAATTTTAATTTAAAAATTGGATCACTGGTCTATTCTTTGAAACTAAACTAGTGGGTATATAGTGATAAATTTTGTCCATGAGCATAAGCGACAGAAGGTGTCCTAAATGATTTCGATATTGTATTCTCGCTTATACAGAGAAAGAGAAAAGAAAATCCTGTCCTTACCCATTTATATAGTAATAAAACCTTACTCCTTATTCAATTACGCATACAAAAAAGTACTTTTATAAGACATCAATTAAAATAACGTACAAATGCAATCGAGCATTCTTTAAATTACAACGCTACAATCCATAACAAGACTTTGTAACAACATATCTTATATGGGTTGTTAACTTTCCTGGCGGTGTAATAAAGATATTTTTTACAACTTCACGTAATTGTTTAATATGCTGGTGTAATTATTTTTTGTTGTTCTTTTCGATGTAGCCTCTTTGAAAGATAAATTTAAACAAACATTGTATAAACTATTCTGGTTATTGTCATCTATTAATTTTGATTCTAAGAAACTTTCTGGGCACTACGATAAACGTGAGAGAAAGACGATAATACGGATTTGATATTTATAATTATTTCCTAGGTATGATTGTCATCTAATTTCTATCGACTTTACCGATACGAATTAAACTTTTTATGTATTTGCATTGGTTCCTAAATGGTTTGGAAACACAACTGGACTAAACAAGTGACTGCTTTTCCGGGCACAATGACATCTCCTGGATTCGTTAGTCAAGTATAATAAATATGAATGTTTATAAAGATATTTAGCAGTTTATTACTCTATTAATACGAACGAACGAATATTAATGAAACTGTACTATCTAATCTCTCTGTATAGTCGTCTCTCCAATTTATTATTTTTATTTATTGCTTATTATCATTTAAGCGTGACAAATCTCAGAATGCCGTAAGACGTATTATAATATTCTGTGATTATATGACTTACTGCATTCTGACAAAGAATTATAACAGAATATTAATCTTTAGGATTATGGTACTACGGTAAACTCTAAAAACTGTGACCACAATTTACTGCCAATAAACTTCATGAAATATAACGACGTATTGCAATGTAGTCAACATAGTACAGGTACATTAGCAACATGATAACGATTGTATTAGAGACATTGTAAAATGTTACAAAGATCTGATAAAGTCATTATTTGTAGGTATATTTTTTTATTATAAAATTTGAATAGCAAATAAGTTGCCGTCCTATCTCTAGCGCAGTAACCATGACCTATTTATATATATGTTATGCGCAATAAATAAAACATTTTATAACGCCGTCTATTATTTTATTAATGAAATAAATAATAATAAGTGGTGTATTGAAAATATTTTAATTAATTATATAATTCCGTTAGAGGCAATGTTCTCAGCCTTTTTAGCTTATATGTTAACAAATATTTCATACTAATTCCTCCAACCAGTTTTAAGTGGAACATTAATACACGAACAATAAGTTCTTGGCTTCACATTTTTATTTCACGTATATGTAATATTATAAATATAAGAATCAGTAGAATCTTATACTTACCTACATATGAATTGAGTGCATTATTGCTTGAAGGGTGATATATGGTAGTTAAATTACAGATATATTACAGAGATACTGTATATCAATACCCTTAGTACTCAGAAATAGAAAGGCACGGGAGGTATTAAGGAGTCGCAATATATTTTGTAATGGGTATGGCGCTGTTTTAGGTAGGTGACGGTTGGCATTTTCCATCAGGTGGGCCGTTGTTTCCCTAATAAATCAAAACCAACCAACCAAATATATATCATAACGACTAATATCTAGTATGGGGTAGTCAGATGCATAGTCATTTATCCACATCAAGGTAAATACAACCCTTGGCAGATCCACATTTCGTTGGGTATATTTGTATCCAACGAGATCTCTCTAATTATATTTTTATCGATCCTCCTTTACCGAAGATTGTTACATAAATACGTTGACACAAAGTTTTTTTTTGTGTTGACTTTGTATAAATTTTATACTGATAATTTTTTTTAGTGTAATTTGGAACGTAAGATGTAGACTTAGAAAAACGTAGACTAACTAGGCCATGACGCTATCAGAACAATATGAAAACCAGAAACACGTTGTTTAGTTAAACATACCGATCTGTAGCAATGACGTATTGAACGCGGATGTTTGTATCGGCAACATATCTAAGTGTTTACATTTAAGATTGATTAAGATCACTTGAGCTTCACGAAGATTGGTAACAAAAACAGTAGCATGTTTAGTTCAGGATTCGCATTAACGGTTTATATACTAAGGCAAACATAAACAGAGTATATGTCTATTTAGTGGATACTTCTTATTCTAAGCATAAAATTACGTATATTTTGTAGACAAAACAACATGATTTTGAATAGAATAGAATAGAAAATCATTTATTCAAATAAACTTACATTGAAGCACTTTTGAATAGTTATTACATTTTTTTAATCTACCGCTCATTCGGAAAGCTGTCTCATCACAGGAAGAACGAGCAAGAAACTTGCGTGTTGCTCTTTTAAATAATTTTATTATTACTTTACATTTTTAAGTTTAAGTGTGTGAATACAAACCACCAATTATCACTAATTCAATTAAATACTCAAATAGTAAAAATATTGAATATATAACCACCTGGTTAAACAATTAATAAGAGGAAATCAGTCATAGTGATTAGAGCAGACCAGTCCCTACAAGCAGCACCCGTTCACTAGTATGACGGATGAGCCTGCTATCACTGCGCTCAACCATATTTTAGGGAGCCCAAAGACCCGGCCCACTACGCCGCCACAAGTCTGGACATTTTAGTGAGCATGACTACTCAAAATACCAGACCACGTCAAAGCTACTTACAATTGTCATTTGATAGTCATAGTATTCACATAAGAATGCATGCGGTATATTTCTAATATAATTAAATCAAGAAAGCAATGAGAAAAATAAATTATAACGTTGTATGCTAATAAACTAATTAAAAATTGAATGAAAACAACATAGAAATAAACGCTATCAATTCGGAAATTCAGTGATGAATTTTATTTTTCTTTCTTCCTTTTTCTTACCTTAATAATGTAACGAGATGCAAACAAAATTGCATGTCCTCCAACACCAATACTGCTTATCTATGAATTTATTTTGGTTTAGTCATTAAAGCCTAAAATTTACAAACAAAGAAACTTACTCTTACATGATCATTTATCCCTATTAAATAAAAGGAAGGATAATCTAAATAAAATAAACCTTTCATTTTCCGAAAATAAGCGTAGAGACGTAATTATAGTGAGAAGTATTACATATATAACCCAATACGTAGGCCATGACTTTCTCCATTAAAAATGCTACGTGTATGCCAAATTTCATCACTATTGTCTGAGTCAGTGACATGCCAAGAGGTGACAAACAAACAAATAAACTCACTTTCATGTTTATAGGCGTAAGTATTAAATATTATTATAACTCTGAAATACTGAAGAATTCGGTTTAGTAGCTTAGTACATTGCCAACTCTCAAGATTGATGTTCACATATACGTGTTTACAAGCAAATAAATATTTTATTAAAGTAGCTAATAACATGCGCATACTACGTAGTCTTGTAAATATCTTGTGACAACAGAAAATCTACTTCGGTGTGGTAAGTATTTCGAAATATCAAGTGGTAGGTACAATGTAACAAGTAATATTTACGATATTATATATTCGTGACCATTGAAATACTTGTAGGTACCTGTTACGAAGACGTAACAATGATTTATAACTATTATTTTCAAGCACAACAAAAGAAATTGTCAAACTTTACTTTTCGGAATTATTTCTTCTGGCTGTCTTCACACCAGATCCTTTACGAGTTTAATACTTTTATCTATCTCTTGAACTTGACGTTCTAGCGATAAGGCTGCCATTGTTGCCTCTGTATCTTATTGTGATTATTTTTTAATATTTGTATGAATATTATTATAGTTTCTGTAATTATTGTTTTTGTTCTGTGTAGGAACAGTAAAGATGTTTTCACTCATCAAATAACATACAATTTTTTATTGTATAATCAGTGACATATTTTTTATATATTCTTTATATATATATTTAACTCTGTATTATATTATATTCTATAATTGGGTTAATAAGTCAAAACTAATTCCATTAATATCTACATAATTGATACTCATTTTTGAGAATCTTCAGTCATAATAATGTTACAGATACAAAAGGTGGACGATCTTTTGTGTTTACAACATTGTTATAGCTAAGGACTTCTGGCTATTTGAAATATTTTTATGTTAATGGTAAAAAGTAATGGTATGAATTAATATCCTAAACATAAACATAATTTCGGAGTTTAATTAAAATTAGGTACATAGGATTACGTAGGATAATTGAATTCAAAAAGTGTCACGCGCAGATTTCCGTTAATTATTTGACATTATTGTATTACGTATTGATAAATATTCAAACGTAACTTTTCTCTTTTACTGTTTATTAGAAAGAAAATTATTTTCTATATCTATCTAACATTTAAGGACATATTATTAAATATCTGTAAATATATAAACAGTTAAGAATGTAGATAATTTATTACTTTACACGTATTTTTTGTGCTATTTACTGTTGTAATATTTTGTTTGTTGTATAATGAAAAATAGAACTATATTAATAAAACATCAATTATCTAACCATATATGTATATAAACCATTGGTGATATATTAAATAAATTCTAATGACATGATTAAAAATATATCACATTAAGAAACATATAAAACTGTCAAAATTTATTAAAATTAAAGAAAATTAGAATTTGAAAGACTAATATTAAGTCTAAAATGAGGGATACAGCGAACCATCTTGTTATCATAACGCATTACTTTTCACCTTACAAAAATATAAGAGATAACAACCACCAATTTACCTAAACAATACTGGAAGCCGACCAAATCTCAAATTAAGGAAGCAGCACTCACCATTCAAAATCTCTAAGCCGGCCATAGTGAAATTACACATTGTAATAATGTAGTTGAAACGTAGTAATATCGCAACGGGCCATCTTATTACCTATTACCACTAGAACTAATATTACCAATAAGAATATTGGTAATTTATGATTACCAACACTGCACTGTAACAACGCGTAGTACGTTACGCATGGCGATCTGGGCGGGCGGCAGAGTACGCTCACGCCGAAAGCTCCGGCAACACTGCCGCTGCCGTTCTGCCGCCCAACCAACCCCCGCCCGCCCCAGTATTTCTTTGTTTCGCATCCCCTCGCCATGTTAAACAAATCTCGAGTGCCGTGATCTCTCTTATCAATTGCCTCGATTCTAAAACCGAATGTGATAATTTCTTTGGTAACATTGATTATTTTGTTTCAGCGCGTGGGTTGTTTTCGTTTAAGCCTTTAAGTGAGCGTTCATTATGAAAGGGAAAGCTGTTAGTTCAGGTATATTAAGGTAATGAATATTTAACAAATGATTCTATAAAAGAATTTGAAAATGAAATTAGTGTAAAGTGTATCAATAGAGGACTTTTCTCATATACATTGTTATACACTCGTCTAATATACATGGACTAACGTTCTTTGTGCACATCTTTCTGATAAATAAAATAATATTGAGTTTACAACAATTAACATCATCATATTAAAAATATAAATTAAAAGTAAAATTAGATATATTTGAACTAGTTGACCCACACAACTTCGTCTGCATCACACTTACTTGACATTTATCATTATATTTCATATAAATATATAGTATCTACGTATTATTCTGATATATAAGCTATATTAGTCGTTCAGTAGATTTTGCGTTTATAATATTAGAAAGTTGCATTTGGTATATACTATAATAGATACTTAATGTTTTATAATCTAAGTTAATAATCTACATATTCTTATCCAATTCAGATAATCTGAATCGATGTGGAAATCATCACATGATTACATGAACCATGGCTACGGCATTATATAATATACTATAATAACCATATTGACTCTACATAACTGCGTTCAAACACAACCTTACAGAAACTTTACTAAAAGTTACACAAATCACAAATAAGATAATATTATATAGCACAAAGTTATTTACAATCCTTTCATTTGTCAAACTGCCTATAAATTAAAATTAAACACACCAGCAATTCAGAACTCCTTACCGAAAATATATATTAATATATATGATACTATAACGTATAAACATTAATACCAATTTGACCTACATTAATTATAATTAACTAAATGTTAAATAATATTTTGTTGTCTTTATTTGTTAAAAAAATAACATATATCCATCAAGATAGAATCTAATTTTACGTCAAACTTTATTAAATCCATTTATCTGCATAGTCTTGAGAAGCTAACGAATAGACAGACTTACAGACATACTTTGATTTTTATAATATTAGTATGGAAAATGAAATTATAATTAATTCGATAATTATTGAACCAGTGATGTTTATTAAAATAATCACATAAATTCGCGTACTACAGGTAACGTATAACGTATTACTTTATTAAATTCGCATCAGTTAATTGAATAACGATGCTTTCCGTAACGTTAGTTCCAGCTTTCGGATAATTGGTATTAGCTACGTCATGTTGTAGCTTTATTTCGTATATGGCATTCATTGTGTTTAGTTTTATTACAAAAAATGAATTGCCTTATCGTCGAATTGTTTATTTTCTTGACTATTATTATTTTAAGTTGTGAAAAAAGTATATTATATGTTTTGAAGTTAGATTTTCTATGTCCATCCACATAATATATTTTATCTTCTCGTCAAAGTTCTTTGACACGTTAGTTTATACTTTATATTTATAACTCTCTACTGTTTATAACTCATTTTCCGTGATTTTACTGCGTTTTTTAGATAAAATTCTATCCTTGGAATATCTGCACGTCAAATTTCATTTAGATCCGTGCAACCGTCAACTAGTAACAAACAAACATACACATTTTCATATTTATAATAGTATGAACGTATTTTATATACTATGTATTACAAATACATACAATAATATTTTAAGATATAAAAGAAAGAGCGGTATTTTCATTGATTTTTCATACTGTCAGTTACATTATTTGATTGTATTTATTTTTAGTGCAATAAATCTTGGCTCAAAGATCACAAGTTGTTTATTATAGCCTGTATAAATATTATCCGTGCTAGAAATAGAAAGCACATCTGAAAAAACTTTACGTTGCGTCTACAATGTATCGCGTTAAAAGCTCTACAAAGTACGGATTTATTATTTTACATGATTTTTAAGTATCAAACATAACCCACAGAGGGCGAGTTTAGAAACACTCGGCAACACAGACAATTATCTCATACATATATATGCAAGACGAATATTTTATTCTTTATTAAGAAATACAAGTAAAATAGGCAACACTAAGAGAACAATAATAATATATTAATAATCTCAGGACAATTCAAGTTAAGCTAGCTAAAGCTTGTGTTGTGGGTATAACTGATACAAATACATAGACATACTTACTTACAAAACACCCAGACTGATACAAACAATCATACTTATGAATACAAATGTTTGTGCAAAGAATCAAACCCGCGACCATCGGAAGTGAGGTGGTGTGTTAAACCGCTTGACCTTAACCGTAGTTGGCCAAGTTACTTATATTTGACGTTAAAAATAAAAATTTTGCTTAACAGTAACATAATTTTATATTTCTTGTATCTATTATAATTAAATTCCAGAGGTAAACATAAATATTTGTATATCAATCTGTTCAAACGATTTTTCTTGGAATTATTATCTTTATGACAGTTTGTTTAAATGAGCGACATGTCAAAAACATTTAAGGAATTTTGATGAGGTTTCGCCTACCAGCTGTTCCCAGAGGTTCGTACTCTTATTTCCTTTAATATAAATAAATATATAACCTATGTTTGACCTCGTGATACAAATTATTACAAACAAATCATTGTGATCTGTTTAGGCTTTAAGTAGTGAAAAGATAACAAACGGACAGACAAACACTTTAAAATTTCTATTATTAAATACAGATTTCAAACGAAGTCTAAAATTGAAATCAATTATATGAAGACTCTAAAGTTCTTTCTCGTGAATTGGTATTCTTATTAAGTGAAAATGTAAGGGTTCAGTATACATTTTATCTATGGCATCCTTACAAATATCAGGCAGTGTGATTATTTTACTCAAAGGTTTCTACTCTCAGTATTCTGTTATTACATAACGTTGTTTATTTCGGCGAAAAACATGGAGGTTTCCCATTTTAACACTATTTTTGTGTATATACAACTTAATACTCATATCATTGGAATTTGAACACATTGGCTCTAATATTTTTACAATGCCTTTTTACTGTTGTATTAGTCAATTAATATTTATTTATTTAATAATTTATTCATTAAAGCTTCGCATTTATTATATCTTATATATATATAGATATAAAATTCTTGTGTCACAATGACAGTTATCATACTCCTCCGAAACGGCTTGTACGATTTTTATGAAATTTTATATGCATGTTTAGTAGGTCTGAGAATCGGCTACTAACATTTTATTTTTTGTAAAATTTTTATTATTTTATGATTTCGCATTAAAAATAGACACAACTAAAAATTTTCACTCCTCTACCACTAACTATTTATTTTATATGGCATAACAACGTTTATGTGGTCAGATTTTTATAAATATATATATTTTTTTTGTAATTTATATAAATTGTTTTATAGTAGAAATATATACAACATGTCCTGATAAATTAACATAGCTGAATGAAATATAACACCGGTATCAGTGTGATTCATGTCGGAAAGAAAATATTTACAGTTTATTGGCGTTAAGGTTTGTGTATACGGGTATAGAACTATAAATTTTATAATCGTACAAAACACATACCTTCTTATTCCAAACATTCTGCTTTATGTTTTAGCTCACAATACAATTAATTAAATACGGAATGAAAAAATACTCGTACTTACGGAAACCGTTGATAAAACCCTAAGAATGAACCTGACATAATATACAAAGTACAATTTGTGTTACATTTATGACATCCTTCATGGTGCAGTGGTTTATAGTAAACTGTGAGATTATGCTGAGTGACTCTTTCATCGTCATTATCGATTTTTAAAAATCCATACAACACATGCTACTATGTACTTTATGAACAGAAGTTACAAACTCTGTATAACTTCTTTTATTTATTTATTCTTCTATTTATTTTCTTAATTGCACTATCAAAACATTTATACATTTGGCGACCTTAATACCATACAGCAAATGGTTAAATGATAGTTCTTTACCATCTAACTATTGGGTAAAAACAGAAATCAGTTGAAGGACTATGGTAGGAATAAGCATTTAGGTATTTGTCTATAAATAAAGACACACTTTTAGTATTTGCCTACAAAGAAATTACTATATTCTCTATATTTATATCTAATAGATTTGATGGTAAACAACTTTGTTTTCCGGGTTTATTAAAATAAGAAATGTTTTTAATTTTGTGTTCGGTAATTGTAATTATCATAATTACATAGTATAAAACAAAGTCGCTGTCGCTGTCTGCCCCTATGTATGCTTAAATCTTTCAAAGATTATTATTAGACTTTATTAGACTACGCAACGGACTTTTTTATAGATAGAGTGATTGTAAAGGAAGGTTTATATATAAAATACATGTACATCCGTGCGAAACCGGGCAGAGTAGCTAGTTATTAATATAACAAACGTTCATAAGGTTCATAAGTAGATGTAACTCAATTTTCACAATTTCCATTAATATAAACAATTATATAGAGTATCTCAATTTAAATTAACTTAAGTATGTATGTGTCTATTATACAAGTACTTAGCAGTTTACGGGAGAGATAATGTAATATAGTACATAATATATGTATACAATATTGGGGTATAGCACATATATTAACCATCAGTAAAAACATGTTTAACTGATCTGCCTTTGAACGGACTTTGTTATGGTTTTTTTGAAGAATTACCTACATTATTATTATTTTATGTTATATAATTTTTCAAAAAAACCGTAACATAGACCGTTCATGTCTAATATATCTTCCATTTCATATTGTAGATTTGTAGATAAAAAACCGTAACAAGTCCGATGCGTGGTTTGGACGTAGAATAATAAGCAAAAAATAAACAGACACTAACAAAGACTTCGTTTTATTTTATTCA